ATGGGTCCTCCCTCTACCATAACGCAGCAGAAGGCGGTGAAGGACTTAAAGTGAAGGACTCAAGGTGAAGGACTCAAGGTGAAGGACTCAAGGGGAAGGACTCAAGGTGAAGGACATAAGTTGAAGGAGGATGAGAGGGGAATGAGGGAAATGGGAAAGAAGAGGGATGGATACGAGGCGAGGGGAAGGGAAGGACGAAAATGAGGGTAAAGGAAAAGAGCGGAAGGAAGGGGGTGGGAAGGAAGGGGAGGAGGGAGAGGAGAGGGGAAGAAGAGGAGGAGGAGACAAACGATGCTGATAAACCCATCTCATTATACTGTCATCATCATTTTACAAAAGTGACAAGTCATTATTCTGTCGTTTGTCATTATTCCAGGGGTCAGCAGAGAGAGAGAGAGAGAGAGAGAGAGAGAGAGAGAGAGAGAGAGAGAGAGAGAGATATTAGGCTCATTAGCACCACCAACACATACAAGTATTCACACGAGGAACAGAACGCCTGGCGAAATCAAACGTTCGTCTTGGCGTTACATCTGCCAGCGTTTCGTCAGCTCAATAGCACTTACAGTTCGTCATTCGGCGATGTTATTAGAAATAGATTAGAGACGATGTAGCAACATAAGGGCAGAGGACAAACATCTCAATAGAAATTTATAGTTTATATGCTGATTGACCTTGACCTCTTGACCCAGTGACCTTAAATCCCAGCTGATTGACCTTGACCTCCTGACCAAGTGACCTTAAATTTCAGCTATTGACGTTGACCTCTTGACCCAGTGACCTTAAGCCTCAGCTGATTCACTTGACCGAGTGACCTTAAATCCCAGCTGATTGATCTTGACCTCTTGACGCAGTGACCTTAAATTCCAGCTGATTGACCTTGACCTCTTGATGCAGTGACCTTAAATCCCAGCTGATTGACCTTGACCTCTTGACACAGTGACCTTAAATTCCAGCTGATTGACCTTGACCTCTTGACGCAGTGACCTTAAATCCCAGCTGATTGACCTTGACCTCTTGACCTTTAGATTAACACACATTCCTCCTGCTCAGGGCGAGATATCTGTATAACTTGACGGTCTTTGGTGCATGCAAATTCGCGTCACACTTCAGAAATCAAACTGTTTGCGAAGACAGACACCCAGCCAGACAGACACAGACAGGCATACCGACACTCCAGACAGGCGGCTAGACAGATAGAGACAAAAGCAGACAGACAGGAAAGTACATACAGTAGACAGATAAATACACAGACAGGAGTGGATAGAAGCATAAAAACAGAGACAGACAGACAGACAGAAACCCAGACAGGCAGATAGACAGACAGACAGACAGACAGAAACACAGACAGGCAGATAGACAGACAGACAGAAACCCAGACAGCCAGATAGACAGACACAGTTCCATTCCATTTACAGTTTTACACGCTTCGCTGGACGCTGGTGTATAAAAAGTTAAATTGACAAAATAATGCTTCAAATAACTAATTACTAATATAGCTTATAACACAATCTCATACCTCACCACCACCACTATTATTATTACTACCACCACTACAACCACCATTATAACCACTTACCGCCACCACTACTACCACTATTATTATTACCACCACCATTACTACCACTATCATCACCATCACTACCACTATCACCACCATCACTACAACCATCATCACCTACAACTACTACCACCACCACCACCTGTCCTAACACACCCTTACACCTCTCACCTGTCCTAACACACCCTACCTCTCACCTGTCCTAACACACCCCTACACCTCTCACCTGTCCTACTACACTACATCTCTCTCACCTGTCCCTAACACACCCCTACACCTCTCACCTGTCCTAACACACCCCTACACCTCTCACCTGTCCTAACACACCCCTACACCTCTCACCTGTCCTAACACACCCCTACACCTCTCACCTGTCCTAACACACCCCTACACCTCTCACCCTACTAAGCTCCAGGCTAGAGATGTGATGAGTTATCTGACTGGCAACAAAAATAGTTTCTCAAAGGTTCTTAAGTTAATTGTTGTTCCCTTAGATATGTGAACGTAATGGTAACAAATATTTATTCTCAAAGGTTTAGGTCATGTCAGGTCAGGTTAGGTCAGGTTAGGTCAGGTTGGGATGGAGCTAGGTTGGTTGGGTCAGGGTTGGAAGGTTAGGTTAGGTCCGGGTTAGGTTAGGTTGGGTCAGGTCAGGTTGGGTTAGGTTGGGTTGGGATTGGGATTAAATTTACCCACAAGACTGGAGATAAGAGAACGTATTTAATTGGCTTAAAAACAGGACATTCTTGGAGGCTCTCACGTTAATTTATCCCTTGGCTGGTAATCTGAAAATGTAAATAACTCCTCAGATATAGATATTCCCAAACACACGTACGTTAAGATGAGATTATACACCTAGACCTATAAACTGAAGCTGTGAGAGATATCTTTTCCCTGGCTGACTTGACTTGAAACCACGACACAAAGGTTAATATCTCTCACACAGTTTTGTACTCTGAATTTCTCCCCCTAATTGGAGATATGAGAACGTCTCTTAACCGGTGAGCTTAAGCTGGGGGGTTCAAATAGAAACTCTCAGAACCTCACACGAGATATTTTTCCTCCGTTTTAATTGGAGCTGCAAGGAACGCGTCTAACAATAGCTCGCCTTAAGCTATAACAAAAGCATCATCATTTAAGATATCTCTTTAAATGTACGTACCGAGGATCGAGTGTGTGTGTGTGTGTGTGTGTGTGTGTGTGTGTGTGTGTGTGTGAGTGTGTGGAAGTAGCGCCACTTACACTGTGTACCTGTGATGTAAGACGTACACTGTTGTTGTCGAAGAGAGAGAGAGAGAGATCAACAACAAAGTAACCAAAACTCGTAGAGGTAGAACAAGCGGATCATACAGGAGAGCACAAGAGAGTAATAATATCGTGTGGGGCCGCAGATAACACACCTGTGCTAAGGATCCGCCCAGGTAATTAACACGAGATAGCAAGCCTCAGTAGAGCTGCGTCACTGCTCTCTCTTATGTCAAACAACTTTTTATATTATTTAATAGTTTTTTTCTTCATAAAATAGATACGAGCCACACACGTAGATACTGAACTTGTCCAGTTTAAAAAGATCAAACCTTATGAAACTTTCTGAGCGGCGGCCACGTAAAGACAGTGATCTTGCTTAGATAAACGTTCAGTCAACAGTCAGCCTTCGGTATCAGTTAGCCACGTGGGCTTGGTGAACTTGTTTACTAAAAAAAAACTCGTAGCCTACGGTGCCAGCCACGAGAGTCTTGGCCTTACTTACCACACACAGGTTAATACAATACTGTAACCTCTTCCTTCATTTGTGCAACGTTAAGAAAGAAATCTTGACTAAAAATTATTTCCCCATAAGTGAATAAATTTCCTAACCCCCAAAAACATCATATATCTACACATCTCTAATGGCCAGTTTAAGACGTATTGGACATTTCAGTTTCCTAAAATCAACATCATAACAGGAATAATTTTATAATCTAATCTGTATTTTGTTCCTATTATAAATGACAAGTTTTAACCCACAGGTGAATGTTAGCACAATAATAATAATAATAATAATAATAATAATAATAATAATAATAATAATAATAATAATCTTTTTAATCCACATTTACGAAAACTTCGTCTGTCGGTCTCTCTCTTAATGACTTTTGGCTCTTTGTTTCCTCTCCTGTTATTCTCATTTCTTTTGTCTTCTCTTCGTTATTACTATTTCTTCTTCCTCACCTTGACCCTCCTCAACCCCTCGTTCTTTTTGTTATCTCTGGGTCTTCCTTCCCAACTTTGGATCTCCTTGTTATTCTTCGTACACCTGTATCCTCCTCCTCATCCCGTGCTTATGGTTAGGTCAGCCGCCAGGTCTTCCTTCACCAGAACTCAGTGGAATATTACTGTCCACGGTTAACCCTTTGAGTACGATGCTTTAACCCTTTGAGTACGATGACTTAACCCCTTGAGTACGATGACTTAACCCCTTGAGAAGTGTCAGTACTACATAACAGACATACAGTATCTAAGCTTTGGGCTTTGAGCTGAGTTGATTTCCAATTCCTGGACCGGTAATGATGTATTTCCCGCTTAATTCAGTCAGTCAGGAATTCTTGGTCACCAATAGGCTACACCAATACTGTTTCACTACCCGCCCCCCTCTCTCAGCCTATACCTAAATGGAACGTCAGAATAGTAAAAAAAACATTGAAAAAAACAACGTTATATTTCTGTTTTTTATAAATTATTTAAGAATTACACGTTCTGTAACACATCTCTGAAGCACCTCCTACACTGCAAAATGGATTGAAAAAATATATATGTATACAACAGTCGTACTCTCACAAGACAAGCATGACTACAATGTTGGAACCTTCGTGTGACTACCACTAATGTAAACTGTTATTTTAGAAATTCTCCCCACGAAAAAAATGTCTTTATTCTTGCTTGGAGCCACGCACTGTGCACTTGAACTACGGACGTGAAGAAAAAAATACCAGTGCGAATAAAAGACGGAATAAAGGAATGGATAAAAAACAAGTGAAGATATTTTCAAAAGACTGCATTATCAGGGAGTGAGTGTAAGCCACGACAACAATGGTTCCAAGGTCGAGGAGCCGCAGTGTTGCCATGTCATAGGCATACTACCAACAGTCATGGAGACACTGCGTTTCTATAGATATTCTGTAAGTGAAGGCATAACAACGCTCCTCATTCACTACAGTTAATTAACAAAGATTACCTGCAAAATGTTGTCACTACGCTAAAACTTTGCCCGTTGTTGTATTTGTCTGTCTAAATATTATACATCTAATCCTGAAAGTTATAATTATTATCATCATTATTATTAGTTACATCATCATCATCATCATCATCATCATCATCATCATCATCATCATTATTGTTTATTTTATTGATGTTCTTGTTGCTGTTATTATTATAGTAACATTATTAATTATATCAACACCAGGGCCCAGGACACTACCAGGCCCAGGAGACACTCAGGCCCAGACACTACCACAGGCCTCAGGACACTCTGCCAGGCCTGTATCTACCAGGCCCAGACACTACCAGGGCCCAGGACACTCGGGCGCCAGATACTACCAGGACCCAGACACTACCAGCCCAGGACACCAGGACCCAGTGCCTACTGAGGCCCAGGATACCAGGGCCCGGGTACCACCAGCCCAGGATACACCAGGCCCAGGATTCACTAGGCCCAGGAAGACACACCAGGCCCAGGACACTGGACAGGCCCAGGACACACCAGGGGCCCTGGACCAGGCCCAGGATACCAGGCCCAGGATACTGCCAGGACCCAGGACACTACCAGGACCCAGGACTACCAGGGCCCAGGACATACCAGGCCCAGGACACTACCAGGACCCAGGAGGATACTACCAGACCCAGGACACTACCAGGGCCCAGATGCTACCAGGCCCAGGACACCACCAGGCCCAGACACTACCAGGCCCAGGACACTACCAGGCCCAGGGACTACCAGGCCCAGGACACTACCAGACCCAGGTCACCAGGCCCAGGACTACCACTAGACCCAGGACACTACCAGGCCCAGGACACTACCAGGGCCAGGACACTCCTCAGGCCCAGGACACTACCAGCACCCAGGACACACAGGGCCCAGGACACAACCAGGGCCCAGGACACTACCAGGGCCCAGGACACTACCAGGGCCCAGGACACTACCAGGACCCAGGACACTACCAGGGCCCAGGACACTACCAGGACCCAGGACACTACCAGGACCCAGGATACAACCAGGGCCCGTGGGATACCAGGCCCAGGACACTAGGGACCCAGGATACAACCAGGGCCCAGGATACTACCACCAGGGCCCAGGACACTACCAGGCCCAGGACACTACCAGGGCCCAGGACACTACCAGGCCCCAGGACACTACCAGGTCCCAGGACACCAACCAGGGGCCCAGGACACCAGGCCCAGACTACTAGCCCAGGACACTACCAGAAACTCACAGGACCCCACAGGACCCAGACACAACCAGGAGGGCCAGACTACCAGGGCCCAGACACCAGGCCCAGGGACATCACCAGGCCCAGGACACTACCAGGGCCCAGGACACTGGCACCAGGCCCAGGACACCAGGGCCCAGGACACTACCAGGGCCCAGGACACTACCAGGACCCAGGACACTACCAGGGCCCAGGACACTACCAGGGGCCAAGGACACTACCAGGCCCAGGACACTACCAGGACCCAGGACACAACCAGCACCCAGGACACTACCAGGACCCAGGACACTACCAGCACCCAGGACACTACCAGGACCCAGAACACTACCACCAGGGCAGCAGCACCAAGACCACCCACAGCAGGAACACGTGTGAGGAAGACCTTGACAGCTAACAGATACATTATATTCTTCTTTACTACACCTTCATTTATCAACCAAGTCTGGGTCTGTTTGTGTGTCAGTGTGGCATTATGAGAGGGAAAGTTGGGTTTTGTTGTGTCGTCGGCCGAGTCTCATTTGTTTGTCTGTCTGTTAGTCTGTGGGAGTCATTTAACTTTTTTTTTTTTTTTTTTTTTATGTCGATGTCGCGTTTGTATGTCTGTCTGATTGTCTGTTTGAATTATCTTTTGGTTATGTTATTCTCAGATACGTTTACTGTACACTGGAGGGAGGTTGAGTCATTGGAGGGACGTTGGGCCACTGGAGGGAATTTGAATCACTGGAGGGACTTTGAGCCACTGGAGGGAACCTGAGTCACTGGAGGGAGAGAGAACAAGGGGCGAGGGACTGCGGTAGGTCAGGTTCTCCGCCGCCCGGGTCTTTAAGGATTCAGTCTCCTGAAGTATAGATGGTGGGCCCAGTGTCCTGACCTAACATTTACTGTGACACATCTTCTCTTTTACGTCTGTCTTTCTTTTCTGTGTTTTATCCGTCTCTTTGCTTCTATCTCCTTTTACTTTTTTTTTCAGTCTCTGCCTTGATCTGCCTGCCTGTCTGTATTTTCTTTTACCATGTCTGTCTGTCTGTCTTTGTTTTAGCTTGTCTGTCTGTGTCTGTCTTGAACATTTTGGTTATTGTTGGTACCAGGCAGGTGACCCAGTAGAGGTGCAAAACACCCCTGGACAAATCCTACAACCACCACCACAACCTGTTACCACTACCATAACTTGTCATCACTACCACCTGTCACCACCACCGATCACCATTACCACGACAAAAACTTATCACCATCAACCAATTGTCACCAATTAACTACCACCAATTGTTACCATTACCACGACAACTTGTCACCACCACCACCAGTCTGTCACCACCACGACTTGTCATTAGTAAATACAACTGTAGCTAACATAATTCAATTTTTGATTTTAAGTTCACAAACCTTCATTTAAATGCTGTGAATTGTACAACATTTACTCACCTCGCAGAGACTTGTGGGACACATACACATACACATACTAATAACATATACACACACACGTCTTATCTCCAGTCGTCTTACATGATCAAATTAATTACTATTCAGGTGTGTGTTGTGCTAAGATAATCAAACACTTATTTATACAGTCAACAGAATAGGTGTGTCATCATCTCCTCATTAACCTTTTTATGGATACTTTAGGTTATTAAATAATAATTAACCATTGTACCTAGGCATCTTAGTTGACTTTGACGTTTATATTGTTATTACTTCTATTC